AGACAGTTTTTTAAGAGTTAAAGATTAGGGAAATATTACAAATTTACGGATTTAAGCAATACATGTTTACGATTTTGAAGTAATAGATCGTATTTTTAATCCGACTTTTTTTTATTCTCAGAAAAAAATATTTTAGAATAATCTAGATTAACTATGGTGATAGGATCCCGTTGAGGCAGGGACTAGAGATGGTTCAAGTGATTTACCTTACACTTTTACACTACTCATGCACATTTTTTATTGTCATTACATAGTTTCATTATATGATATTTGGGTGACTTTTTGGAGTTAATGGGAGTAATGTTAAGGTGATAATTTGACTAGTTCTATTCCTGAACACAGTCATAGGTTGTACTGAATTTTTAGTTCAGTATGAGGTTTTAATTACTGTGAGATTAGAGGTGAAATTTAAGGGGCTAATTTGAATAGTTGAGGCAGAAATTCAAGAAGGATATGTATGTAATTGGAATCTACTTTATGTAATTCTATATATAGTAATAGCAATACATAATTTTTTCCTATTAAAAAACAGATATTTTGCTTCTGAAATCTTGCTTGAAGAAGAAAAAAGTAATTATAATATTCAAATGAGTTTTTATATAAGTAAATAATTTTTATATATATAGTGAGGGGTGTATTGAAAATCACACATCGACTGAAGATAAAACAATTTCATATATATAATTGGTACAAACCTTATCTTACAAATTAATTTTGTAAGATTGAATTAAATTTAAAATTCATTTTTAAACAATAAACATGACTAAAATAAGTTTTTTAATCTAAACATTGATTTTAAACATTGATGAAAATTTATATTTTTCAATTTAAGCTTGTTCTATAACAAAAATAATAATTTAAATGAATACATTAAGAGAATGTGGAAATGTGAAATCTCTTCTATAAGGTGTTTCGCTTTAACTTGGGAATACTTAAGAGACAAACTCTTGAAGAAAGAAAGATTTCAAAATGCACCTAGTTTACCGGAGAAAAAGAATATGCAAAGGAAAATTGAATGAAAACATTGTAATTAAAAGTATCATATATTCTAGACTTGGTAAGGTATTCGAAAGGAAAATTGAGTGAAAACATTCTTGGTATGCAATTATATCGTGGAGTTTATGAAGAGCGTAATTGTTATGTTCTAGAATTGTGTTGTTTGTGAAGATAGAGTTATAAAATATCTCAAATTTAACCGTTGATTCTAGGGTAATAGGATGGAATCAAAGTCATCTTTATCTTTTATTCAATGGATATGTTGGAAAAATTTGTTTATCGAGGTAGTTGTACCTAGAGCTGTCAATTTGACTCATGACTCCGGAGCTAGTTCTAACTCATTCTTGAAAAAGCCTCCTCTTAAGAAACCCCTCAAATGGGGGCAAAACAAAAGCCCCAACCCCCAAAGCTCCCTCTCAAGGGGGTTAGGGTCAGGGTTAAGGTGGGTTTAGCCCCACTAAAAAAATTTTTGAAACTAAACTTCAACATTATCATAGTAACTATTAAAAGTACAAAATTTTATATTCATGTAATTGATTTTTTATTTCAAATTATTAAATAAAACTAATTAATTATAGTTTAATAGAATATTTAATATTCAAAATAACCATTTTTTTAAATAATTAAAAACAATTACTTAATTTTATACAACTAAATAGTATTACAAATTTATTTTACTAAAATATTTTAAAAATGTTTTATTTTGTTGTTAATTTTAATACAATTATGTCTTATATTGCACCAATTATTAGAAAATTATATATAATTAGTAATATCAAAATAACCCCAAGATAATATTTACACTGCTTTTACCGTTCTTAAAAACCCTGTTTTGTTTTCTCGACTTCTAAAATATCACTCAATCTGTTTTTAACTATTTAAAATTAAAAATAATTCAAAAATTTATTATCTAAATTTTTTGGATCATAAATAGTATTAATATTTTATGTGTAAATTAAACTTATGTTTTATTTTATTTCTTTTCTCTGATAATCTTTTCTCAAAATCACCATAAGATATATTATAAAAAGAAAGTTAATTTCTTAAAAAATTATAAAAAAAATGAAAATTTTAAATAGACTTAAAAGTACTAAAGAGTGACAAATGTTATATTTATGACATTAAATAATTTATTTTTAACTTTCAATTAGAACACATAACATAAATGTATGTTTATGTTTATGACATTTAAAATGTAAACATTTTGAGTGAGTAGTACGACCAAATTGAATCCTATGGGCCAATACAACTCCATGCAGCCTACACCAGGTTTGAGTTTTCTCTTTTTACTTATTATTTATGTTATGAGCATGATTTGTTGAGTATAAAATGAAAAAGAAAATCATTTATATTTAATTTCTTTTTCAATAGCTTTCTAAAAAAAATAAAGAATCCTCATTTTTTTTTAAATTAAGAGCTTCAATTAGAGAAAATCTTCTCTTAAATTTCAATTAAGATAATTTTAGATAGAAAGTTAATTTCTGACTTATAAACTAAAAAAAGTGAAATTAAATATTTAAATTTCAAATTTATAAAATGATCCTTTAATTATATACTTAGAGAATCTAACTCAATAAATATTGTCATTTTGCTTTTGCTTCTTGATTCTATAACTCTCCTCCTATAAAAATTTCAATTTATTTTCTATAGTAACTATTTTTATAACAAATTAGGAGTTAATTATATTTTTTTCTTATATTCAAAATGAACATTTTTTCTAAAAAAAAGGCCCATGGGTTGGCCCTGACCCACAAGGCTTTTGAAGATATTTTGGCCCCGTGAGTTTTTTCTACAAGGGGCTTTTTGGTCCTGTGGATTTTTCTGGCCCCAACCCACGTGAATTAGGGCCAAACCATGTAAGAGGACCAAATTGACGGGTCTAGTTGTACCTTAAGAACGAAAAAACTATTGATGCAACAAAATTTACTTTTCCAGAACAAAATTGGGAGAAACTCCATTTATGTTATAATATTGGAAAATTCAAGTATAATTTTAAATTTCATGTTAAATAAATATGAGAAAATTGAACATATATAAGAAAAAATATCGATAAATTTATTGTCTTAATAGATTTTAGGTTAAAAATGGTATCAATCTCTTATATGAATTAAACTCAATATCTCATTGGTGTTATCTTGTGAGTGAATCTCCCATAAAAAAATTAATAGTGCTATTAGAGTCGTTTGCGATATAAGTCATCTTAAAACCTATGTTCGAGCTAACCACAAGTACCAATTTACTTATATTGTGGTTCATCTTAATAGAATACACTCCCAGATATAAACTCAATTCACATAAAAATTGACACTATCTTTAACCCAAAGTCTTAATACTATATTTATAGGTCTACATCTTATATGACGCTTAACTTTATCCCTTTTACTAAAGGTAGATGTTAAACTCACTTTAATTATCTAACATAATAATAATTTTATGTGTTTAAATAAAGTTGAGAGTATATAGAAAGGTAGAATTTAAGGTGAGACAATTGAGGAGGAAAAAAATGACTAAATAAAAATACTAGTTATGATTGAGATGTAGTTGAAGTTTCTGGAAAGAAGTAAAACCATTTAAACAAGCTTCATATTCCGTGTAATGGATATGGTTTGGTAGACTTAGGATATTTTCCACTTGTAAACATAACAAGAACAAAATGTATTAAAAGAATGGAAACGACAAAAGTTGTAAAAATAGAAAAGAATGGATAAAAGAAGAGTGGTTTATTATCCATTACAAGAAAAGGTTGAATTTTTTTGTAGATAATTGGTTACAAAATAAAATTTATATGTAGATTGTACTTACCTACATAAATAATTATTATTGTTGACGAGGAAAAGAAAAATGAGCAAAAGTGAATTCATTAGGAAACTTACTTTGGAATGGAGGCATAGAAAACAAAATCCATGATAACATAATTTAATCGTGGATAAAATAAGAAACAAAAAGATAAATTAAAAACTTTCTGAAATCTCCAGTCCCAAATCTTCGATCTCCCCAAAAACGATTCAAACATTATTCATTACGATTTTCTTTTCCTCCAAATCGTGTCTGATTTGAGTGAAGTTTATTTCTCTTTAAAGAAGATCAAAGACAAATTGAATTTATTTTATATACATATATGTGAAATTAGGAGGATCAAAGTTAAAGTACATTATATAAGTTGTTATTAAAATAACTGAGTTCAAAATGACTATCATATCATATCTATACCAGTTAATTATTTTTTATCAAATAAAATGGCTAAAGGAGACATATTTATTGTCTATACTGTAGGATACTATTTTTTTGTACTGTGTAAATCGAGAATATGTTAAACGTGGCATTGTTGATTTTCTTTTTGTGTCATGAAAGGAACTAAAAGAATGGTGTGGAAATTATTGTGTAAGTTCGGCTAATTGTAATGTCAAGTCAGAAGTATTTTCCTGGTTGTTTCTTACTTTTCTGTGGATAAGTTTTGACTGCGTGCCTAAGCTGAATTAGGGTAAACCGCATATTATACACGCCTACTTAAACTTTCCACAAAAAGGCTAATGTTTTCGTGCACAAAGGTATAAAGCTGAAGCAAAAAGAGAAAAAGAAGAGGAACCCGTTACCAACTTGATAAGCTCTAGTTTTCAATGTCAACTCACTCTTGTATAACGTTATAACGTTATTATTATTAAGTCTGCATTTGAGAACCATAATTTCTTAATTAAGATCAATTAATGATGGAAATTAATCTTAACACTCCTCAATTAACTACATGGCAGCAACCCTAGGCGGCTAAGAAGCGATGAAAGATTACAGAAGGAAGGAACCCCACCACCATAGCATGTGAGAGTGACTGCGAGAAAGCCAAAACGCAAAAAATTGAAAACCATTCTTTTCTGATGGGTAGTTTCGTCAATTCCCCTCCACAATTATTATTAAATTCATATTTGCATTATTATAATCGTACTCACGCTCGTTCGCTGTATAAATACGCGTCTCAAACACAGAACTCAACAACTACCATTCAAAGTTTGGAACAAAAGAGGAGGAGGAACTTCATTCACAGAGCAACAACAATGGGAAATAGCTTAAGGTGCTGTTTGGCTTGCGTTCTTCCGTGTGGAGCTCTCGATTTGATCCGTATAGTCCACCTGAACGGCTGCGTGGAGGAAATCACGCGTCCAATCACGGCAGGGGAAGTTCTCAAGGCCAATCCAAACCACGTTTTGAGCAAGCCCAGTTCCCAAGGCGTGGTTCGCCGGATTCTGATCCTCTCGCCGGAGACTGAGCTAAAGAGAGGAAGCATCTATTTCTTGATCCCCGCGGCGTCGCTGCCGCCGGAGAAGAGAAGGCACGTCAAGCATGTGAGTGGCCGCACAAGTCATATTGATAATGAAAAGAACGAGGTTAACAACAAAGTGTGTTCCAAGAAGAGTAACAACGATTTGTCGTCTTCACAACAATGTGATGACCAAGGCTCAGTAATTTCTAAGGAGAAGAAATGCTCGCGGCGGGATCGCCGGAACGGGCGTGGTGGATTGTGGCGGCCGCGGTTGGAGAGTATCTCGGAAGATTAGGTTTTTCTCTTTTTTGTTTGGTTTTTCCGGCGGCCGGTACCGGAATCTTGAGTGGGACCGAAGATGGTTCAATACTTGAATTGTTAAAATGTAACATGACCTTTTTTTCTAAATGTACGAGTATATATCTAAATTTGTGGATATAGAAGAGTTACTTTCTGCAGTGCTATATGATTTTTCATTTTGATTTTTGTTTGTTTGAACTAATTAAATTTTGATTCAGAATTAATCAACACATGCTAGCGTTGTACAAATCCAAATACTAACGTCTCATATTATATAGAAAATATATGATATTGAGGTTATCAAATATAATATAATACAATAGTTAGAAGTAGATTTATAGATAAGTTATTAAGATTATAGTTATCGGAAAGAAGCCATAATTTAAAACTTTCTATATAATAAAGTATTTCAAAATGATATAACTTAAAGACAGATAGACAATTAAAGAGATATATACTAGACTAAACAAACATAATTTGTTACACTTTGTACTTGATTCGTCCGAACTTAGAATGATTATCGAGCTATGACGGGTCATGCACTCGTGGTGGCTTCTACTGCTTTGGAAAGCCGTTGTCAATGGGTTTCACCCTACCACACTCACAAGGTTAGTCTGTACCGCGCCTTGGAGCATACTGGAAGCTTCCAAGACTAAGACCTCCTGTTACTACTCACGACATGGTTCAATCCTCTCTACTTGAGAATGATTGACCATTATAGTTTCAGGATAACCCCCAAGACTGAGCTTCCATGCAAATCATTCTAAAACACATCAAGGACACCACCATAGATCCTCTCCTTGAGGATCATGGAATTACGTCCAATAACCACACTTTGTTATATTCAACCACCAAACATGTCTCATACATTCACATACTTTCAATGAAATAACATTATCACCATCATACTATGCATTCCAATCATTCCACACACTTAATTTAACCAAAGCAAGAGCAAAAGAGAAATATGGACTCAGAGCATTCGCAGAGCGCATCCTACTCGCAAGGCGAGACATGAGAGTCTCGCACAGCGCACCCCAATTCGCTATGCGAATTAACTCACTGAGGCTACAAGCCTTAGGTCTCTCGCATAGCGCACTCAGGTCGCTATGCGAGAGCTCAAACAGAGAGCACACCCCCAAACCTTTTCGCTTTGCGCCTATCTCGCCTTTCTAATTAAAATGGCAGTGGCTCCAGGCCATCACCAGTCGCATAGTGATAGGATTCGCAATGCGAATCACAAGGCAGAGAGTAACACCCTCTGGTTATTCGCACAACACACCAGCTTGTACAACGAATGACCCAGACAATGAGCACTCTCTATAGGGACTCGCTATGCGAGACCATTCGCATAACGAGACTGCATAATCTGCAGAACTCAAGTTCTGCAGAATTATGCATTCACACACCCCATTATCATTTCTAGGCCATTTTACCAACTTCTAATACCTCTAATTCGTGATTTAGACCTAATTAAACTTGTCTAATTGATTATAAACGTTCCTACTACAACTCTAAAGTGATTTAGACTCAATTTCTACTCTAGACCACCAAAATCAACAACTTAGTGACCCAAATTCAATTTTACCACTTGTAACTTGTTTTAGACCAGTTTGATGTTCCTAACAAGTCAAAATTGACCTATCTAAGCTACCCAAACAACCCAATTGCACTCAAGACCTCCAATGCCCAAAATCACTAATTTGCCCCAAAAACACTATAGTTTCACTTAACCCCCTATCTAATAACCTTCATAACATCTCTACCTCACCAATGAACTCAATCACATCAATACATTTCCCCTAGATCAATTTACAACATCAATTCACAGTTCCACATGTGCTCATACAGATGCATACAAAACAAGGTCACTCTAAACACAAACTTGTTCATCAAACAACAAAATATTACGGATTTTAGCACATGCATTGTTCATACAAACCATAGAAAAAGTATCTAGCTTCCCTTACCTTGGAGTTGAACAGCCTAGCTCACAACACCGCTTCCACAGTACCCTACTCAATGAAGAACCTAAACAGTGCCCTACAACCACCGAAATGGTGATGAAAACATCACTTAGAGCTCAAAATTTAGCAGAGAACAGAAAAGGGAAAACACAAGACGCATGCAACCAACAAAGGTTGCATGCCCCAGTTCAAGAACAACGGAGAAATGGATAGAGCCACTTATCCGACTAAGACCCGAAACTGATCGGTCGGTTTTGAAGGTTTCTACGTTGTGGATGCTTGGGCACCACCTGACCGAAAATCAAATGGCTCAGTAAAGAGATTTGGTAGAGAGAAGGCGGAGAAAGGAGAAAGAGCTTTGAAGAGTGACAAAGGTTTCCTCAGATAATGGAGTGATCTTGAGTCCAGAATTCTTATGTTTAAAATTATTTTATTTTAAATGATTCAATCTCATTATTTACTGCCACGTGTCCTCTTTTAAAGCTGACTTCTTTCCAGTCTTTACAAGTAATATTTTATCAAGTTTGTTTTCTCTCTTTTGTGAAAGAATATTTAATTTTCATACATTTCACAGAAGTTGAAATTCAAACTAATGCTTTTAATGATAAATTATTATATAATTTGATATTATTATGTGACTTATTTTCTTCAACTTTTTTGACAGAATTATGTTCTCTAATTTTAAAAATATTTATATTACAATTTTATTTTTTAAATGTCTGAAAAGCAATTTTAGTCCCATGTTTTTTTTGGTTGATATTTTAGTTCTATATTAAAAAAAATCCACAAATTTAATTTAATACGAAAATTTGCATAAGGTGTGAAAATTAAAGAGAGAACAAAATTATGAGCATTAGATAATCTAAACACAAAAATAAAAAAATAGAGAATAAAAATGGCATTTAAGAAATTAAAGAGAGACCAACATTATAATTTTTAATAAAAATATTCATTTTTTATTACGTGAAGATGGACCCAATGACAATGATGCGACACCATGTAATAATTTCTTTGAAAAGTCCTTAATTTTCGTAATGAAAAATTAAGTCATTATAGTTTGTTTGCTTTTAGTTAAGTAATCGATGAATGCACCCTAAACACCAAACATGAATGGTGGCATCCTGAATTAGATCCACATTCCAATGATTAAGCAGGGTTTACATTTGATTATCTAATTAGAACATGCATTTTAGCCACCAATGCCTACTCACGGAATCAGGAAAAGAAAAAGGAATAAAAAGGCTTTGGTTGACATTATTATTTCAGTTGCTAATTATTTTGTTGTGGGACTAGATTAAAGCGATTATGAGTTATACTTTTAGGTGATGAACAGGTGTAATTGGAACAACGTAAAAAATAAAATAGAAGTCAAAATATACCTTAATTAAACACTTAATATTCGACCCATTATCGTAGGAAACGAGCGAGAGTACAGACTGGTCGCAATTAAGGTTGATGCTTTCATCTCGGTTTAGATTTGCGACTCAAAGTACAAACATTAATTCTATTTTAGGTAAAATTCTTATTATATTTCAAAACTTATTTTAGCATGATAAATTAATATCACATATGTTAAAGTTAGGAAACTCATAGTTTATAATGTAAGGATTATTTTCACACAACTATATATAATTAATATGATATTTTCAATAAATTTTTCTTGCGTTAACACTAGTGTAAAAAACATTTTTGAAATTGTCTAATAGACTTTAGTTTAAAAAAAATCAAAAAAAATAGTTTTAAAGTTTTTTGCTTAACTATAAATTTTGATTTTAAAATACTAAAACCTATACTAGTATTAAAATTTTAAAAATGTCATTATTATTTTTGGATTTTATCTATGTCTAAGAGATTATAGGTTTCGATTTTATAAATAACCGAAGTCTTTGCAAAGGTTAATTTTTCAGATATTTAAAACCTCTACTAAAGACATTTGTTTCATTGCACTGCTGAGAGCTCCTTTGTTTTCTTTTGTAATTGGGAGACACGAACGTCAATGTCATTTCTCTATTGTCACTACAAATGCAAACTTCGCTCCATTTCTTTGTCCCTGCTATACTCTTGAGTTGCCATTTTCTCCACCACTGCAGTCCTCTCCATTCTTCCTCACCTTGCTCCATTTCCATCGTTGGCTCACTTGTTCATTCTCTCTTCCTCGTTTTTTTTTTCTATTTCGTTAAGGCTCGTTATGTTCTTCCTTACACACACATTTTGTGTCGTCATTTGTGTCCAAGTTTTGCATTCAGTTTGCATTATTGTAGCACACATTTTTTTACTTCCAAAATGCTTTTTGCATTGTCGCAATACCTAGCTTCTAAGATTCCACGTTCTTAAAAATTTATATTTTTTATATGCTCTTAATATATTTTTTATATGTTTGATATATTTGGTTTGTGTTTGGATGTGTTTAGTTGTTTGGTTTTTGTCTAAGTTCATAATGTAGGAAGAAAGAAAAATAAAAAAGTTATTTTAAAAAAATTCTAGAATAGGATTCGATTATAGAAAAAACCTAAGTATATAGTAAAGAATAAACTTTAGTTACTCAAGGAACCAAAGCATATAGTCAAATAAATTTTAGTTTTTTTTAGACTGAAGCCTATTCTCTACTTCAAGTTTTATTTTTTTTTATTTTCAATCTTTTTTTAATTGTATTTGACTTTGGTTGTCTTCAACCAAAGCCTATTATAGAAGTATAGGGTTCGGTTAGGAACTGGAGTAAAAAACCCTCATTTTCTACCTCGATTAGATATACTTAAGTTAAGGAATCAAAGTATAATGTGGAAAAAAAATAGGTGCCAAAACCTTCACTATACTACTACGATGTTGAAGATCTTACATCAATTAGAAATAAGACAATTTTACACTATAAACCTCAGCTTACAAGTTGATTTTTTAAAATTATGTTAAATTTAAAAGTCTACTAGTTAAGATGGTATCAAGGTCATCTGAAGTCTATCTCAGTAATATTTATTGTTTATTAAGTCTATTGTGTCGCTCATTATATTAAGTAGCTAACAGATCAATTAAAGTGTAATTACACATTTAAAATTTATATGTCTCGATATGAGAAAAATATTGCTAATCTCACATCCTAAAGATATAAAGGGAATTTAGAGTACATAAATAGATGTAAACCTTAGTTTACCAATTAATTTTGTAGGATTAAAATTATTTTTTAAAAATTAATAACCTTGAAGTTGAAAAGGTTAAAAGTATTCAAATGACAACTTGATAGAAAATGATCCTTTCATAATAATTATTAAGATTATCTTATATAAACGATCAGTTAACTCAATGCTATATATATACATAGTCTCTAACTAATTCTTCAATCATATAAATATGTGTATGAAGGTATAAGATATTAGTTAAAAGTTACAAGTGTTGATAGAGAGAGGGACACACTAGTGCAGCGAAGGGCTTTTACCGCGGTTCTTGAACCGCGGCATATTCAGCCGCGGTAGTAAGTCAGACACTTTATACCGCGGTTCGAACCGCGGTATATAGGCTGCGGAATATGCCGCGGTTGTCTAGGGAACCGCTGCCTAAACCCTAAAAAAAATTTAAAAAAAAAATTAAAAAATGCACTATATGCCGCGGTTGAACCGCGGCATATAGGCCGACGAATATGCCGCGGTTAGTGTCAAAACCGCGGCCATATGTCTCGTTTGTAAAAAAAAAACGAAGCACTATATGCCGCGGTTGTGGTTAGAACCGCGGCATATTCCCCTGCAGTTTTTTAAAATTGCAGGTCTGTTTTTGTGATATCCATTACCACAAAAACAGACCTGCATATAAAAACATTTACAGAAATTCAATTTCAACATAACAAACACATGTTCAAATGTATTTCAACATCAAATAAAGTAGAGAGTCTAAGAAAATTCTATCTAATCAAATGCATTGTTTAAATCTAAATCTAAGAGCTATTGTATAATCTAACTATATACTTCGCAGCAGCGTTCCTAATGAATAGTAGTGACTTCTCAGGAACTGGTGTAGTAGTCTTGAATCTCTGCAAAAGACAATTCATTTTAATTAGTGTATATGAATTCAACATTTGTTAAAAAATCAAAATTTGTTAAAGTTAAATATTACCGTTTCCCAGCTTCTTGTGATGTGAGAACGAACAATATGGGTCATCCAATACATTACATAGTATCCACACTCATATGACCCATTTTGTCTGTTACACTACAATATATCATCACAGTTGATAATAGTTAGTGAATAACATTTGTTATAAAACAATTATAACAAAGTCAGACTTTAGCATATGTCAAACCTTGAGAGAAATCCAAGCAATCTTTCTACTCTTAGCAATTGATCTCCCGTCCATCATCATACTTGCTGGAATAGAACTGTATATAAAAAAATGTTTTAGCATTCAGTTATATAACAAAGAAAGTCCAAACATTGAGGTTCTTACCAATCAATTGCTTGTCTGAGTTGTGTGGGAGGAGGCCTGTGCAATGAGCAGAACCACAAAGCATAGTTGTCTTGCACAGACATAACAAGAAGTTGCCAATGGCGCCTGAAATTCATAATAACGTAACTATTAAATATTAAAATCACATATGGAACATTATTATGTTAACAAAGTTCACTTACCCGGATATATAAGGCAAAAAGTATATTTTCTTGCCCCTTCCAAAACTTCTTATCAGACTCATGTTGATATGGTCAAAATCATTTGATTCATGAATTTCTTGGGGATCAATGAATCCATAATCATCAGAACGCCCCAACTTATTAGCGACCCCAAACATATACCTGAAATCAAAAATTAACTTTGATATAAGGATACTTGATATATAAATCAATTTTATATATAAATAATTGGTCATAGACTTACATCGTCCATAGTTGAATAATTGAAATATTCAACTCTTGTGTTCCCGACGCAAGCTCACGGACATCTTGGCTATTAAGGTATATTGGGACCTCAGAGCCATGCCCAAATACATTAGCATCATACTGAACCTCCAAAGGCTTATCATCAAGGATGTCAGCAAGTAGATGCAATGAAGAAAGAGGGTCATCCTCAGATAGAGGAATCTTCTGTTGTTCCTGCGTCTGTTGTTACATGAAAAGATAAGATAAGTTTTGACATCAAAAACCTTTAAAATTGAGAAGTGTAAAGAAGAATTTCATACCGAGGGGTCAGAAACTGGTTTAACCAAAAATTTAGGCCAAGTGATAAACGACTTATATGCTTGTTCCACAGTGAAAATCTCTTCCGTGGACAGTGGAACCGAGGCATCTGGCATGATCATTTCATCCACTGAGACCTTCACCTCATCCTCTAATAGTTGCATACCATGACATACAGTCGCTGACCTAAACTCTGTTCCACGAGCTACCAGCACCATCTCATCTTCTTCTAAAATGTATAGCAGACATGGACTACCATCGTCCATGTCATCCTCTGGGATGGCTGATGCGGAACAACTTCCTTTGCCGCTTCTCCCTGTCAGAGTAAATGTTAGATTATACAAGAGATAGAAATAATTGCACATAAATGTTTATTAAGTTTACCTGTGGGAGGGGGAGGGACCACATGTTCCTCTATAGGAGACTGCATCGGGCGCATGCTCTGAAACTGCTCCTGGTAGAGCATCTGGAATTCAGCCCTCACCTCGGCCCTGATCTCCTGCATAAGGTCTTGTCGGACCTTTTTTGTGATCTCTTCTGTCATCCTTTGTGTATCGCTGTACGAATATGAAGGCTGACGAGAAGAGCTCCCAAAATAATCCGTAATGCCTACTCCAGGACCTGCAGCACGTACACGTCCAGGGTGCTCAGGTCGTCCAATTGCAGCAGCAAGAATATCCTGGCGACCCTCTGGAGTGAATTGGCCTTGGGAGCTCTGCTCAACCAAGGCGTCCTGTAACATTACAAAACACCATTATTCTTTAAATAGTTTAATGTAGTATGTATAATGACAATATTTATTATTTTAGGAACAGTGATAACTTACAATTTTTTCAGAAATCTCTCGTGCAGTGTCGGAAGAGTAGGTGCCCGATGGTCGCATACGGGCCAACTTCCATTTCTCATGTCTAGACGGTGGAGAAGGAGGCTGAGGAGGGCTACCACTCTGAGATGGTGGTATAGCATCTGCCTTTTGCTTGAGGATTTTCTCCTCAAGCTTCCTATACCCACCACGAGATAATAGGTGGGGGTTTTTGTTCTTAGCACTTGTTCCTTGTGCTTTGCTTCTAATTGCCTGTCACATACACATTAATTAATGAGTTCATATGATATATATTTGTTAATGAGGAATTGAATAATATGAACTACACTAACCTGCCATTCCTCTGACATCCGACTCTCTTTAAAAACCCGCCAAGTCTCCTCATCAATGGACTTATATGCATTACATGGAGTTTTATGTTTAAGGTGTCCAAAGATGTACCTTGATGTCAACTTGCTTTTAAAGTTTCTGAAATTTTCTGCAACAGTTGACAAACACTTATTTCTAAGTGTTGGGACATTTGGAATGTCAAATGTCATCTGAAAAAAACATAATAAAGTTGTATTAGTACAAAATTATCAATATAAACAAATTATAATTCAAATGCTATTAACTAACTTACCAATATATCTTGCCAAATAATGTTCCGATCACCCTCGGACACATGATCAAAAGATGGAATGAGAATGCTAATCTTATCACGTGCCACTACTCCAAGGTATGATCGGAAGTCATCTGCATAGGGGCCAGTTGCCACACCCGTGGTGACATTCACATTCACCGGAGTTCTTTCACCACTATTTTTCCTGATTAATAGTTGTTTCATCCTAGTGGGTCCTCTAGTGGATCTGGGTGGGGGAGCCTCATCCCCTGAAGAATGTGGATGATCAGCCATATATCTGTCAAAATAAATAACAACATTAAATTTTCTTTCAAGACTTATGTAATATCATATAAATTAACAAAACATGTAATAGTATCCAAATTGAAAATTCATACATAAAGATATGGATTCATCATATGTATATTCCCTCATCATGATCTGACCGAATTGCATGTACATCATCGTCAACTACAGATTGGTCATCCAACTTTGTTGTAGTTTGAAATGAATGGTTGTCAGCAATATCAATATTAATTAGATTGTCTTCGTTAACTTCAATTTGTTTTTTGCCTTGAAGAGCAACATACCAATGGTCAGACGAAGGATCTTTGACATAAAAAACTTGAGATGGTTGATGTACCATGATAAACGGTTCGTCTCGATAACCCACCTTGCGAAAATCAACCAGTGTCATACCCGAGTCATCTATTTTCACACCACTCTTATTGTCAAACCACTTACACTTGAACAATGGAACGGAAAACTTGGTGTAATCAACCTCCCATATCTCTTCTATTATACCATAATATCTCATTGATCCAAGTACAGGAGATTGATCTTTTGATGTGGAAAATTGAAGTGACTCAGCTTCTAAACTGACTCCACTATTTTGTACTGTGCTTTTATCATCCAAAGTCTTCGTATAGAATGTGCAATTATTGACTTCATAACCTGTACAACACACGACATCAAACTTCAAACCATTTGCAAGCCACAATAAAGTTTCAGAAGAATGTGGCTCTTTGTCAATTTCAGATTTGAACCAAGACATAAATGTTTTGTTATGCTCCATCAATTGCCATTTCTCTGATTGTCTTGGATTTTTATTCTTAACAATGGCTTTGTGTGCTTCCAAAAAAGGGATCACCTCATCTGTGTTGTTCAATATATAAAGATGCGCTTGCAACAATTCTTCGCGATCTTTTGTCACCACATTGACACCTCGGATGCTTTTACTTGTAGAAAATTTATTCAACCATGCTGTGCGAGGAACTCCTATTGGATTCGTTGATGTCATGTAATCTGAACAAAACTCGATACTTTCTTCAGCAATATACCTTTCAATCATCGAACCTTCAGGATGATATGGATTTTTAACGTACCCTTTCAAAATCTTCATATAACGCTCAATAGGATACATCCATCTTAAGTATACCGGTCCGCACAACTTGATTTCTCTAACCAAATGAACAAGTAAATGTACCATGATGTCAAAAAAAGATGGAGGGAAAAACATCTCTAGTTGACACAAGATGATAACAATCTCGCCTTGAAGTTCATCTAACTTTGTAGGATCGATGGCTTTACTACATATTGACGAGAAAAATGAACACAACCTGTTTATGGTGTGCCTAACATTTTTGGGCAAAATTCCACGAATAGCCACCGGTAACAACTGTTGCATTAAGACGTGACAATCGTGAGACTTCATGCCAACAAGCTTTAAGTCCTGCATTGACACTAAACTCTTCATATTTGAAGAGTATCCTTGTGGTACTTTGATACTCTTTAAACATACACAAAAACTTATCTTCTCTTGTCTAGACATTGTGTAACATGCAGGGGGCAAATAAGTACGTTTACCAATCTCCTTGGGTGCCAACTCTTCTCGGATATTCATGTCAACCAAATCCAAACGAGCATTCACTCCATCTTTTGTCTTTCCCTGAATGTTGAGTAATGTACCAATCAAGCTATCACACACATTCTTTTCTACATGCATCACATCTATGCAATGTCGAACATCTAACTTTGACCAATATGGAAGATCAAAGAATATTGATTTCTTCTTCCAAGGGGTCGTTACAGATGACTTCTTCGATGTTTTCCCAAATACATGATGTATTTTATTAACTTTTTCAAGAACTTCAAGGCCAGTAAGTGGATTTGGTGCTTCGTCCCTCTCTTGATCTCCATTGAATGCTTTTTTTAACCTTCGATATGGATGATTACGTTTTAGAAATCTCCGATGACGCAGATACACCGTCTTTCTTCCATGTTTCAATTGATGAGCTGCAGTGTTTTCTTCACATATAGGACACGCTTTATGACCCTTGACACTGTATCCTGACAAATTACCATAAGCAGGAAAGTCATTAATGGTGCAAAATAACATTGCACGCATCATAAAAGTCTCTGAAGCGAATGCATCAAATATTTCAACCCCGTCAACCCACAAAACCTTCAAGTCTTCAACTAGTGGGCTTAGATAAACATCTATGTCATTTCCAGGCTGCTTTGGACCAGATATCATCATAGATAACATCATGTACTTCCTCTTCATGCACAATGCAGGAGATAAGTTGTAAATTATCAATATAACTGGCCAACAACTGTGATTGGTACTCAGATTACCAAATGGGTTCATTCCATCAGTGGCTAAACCAAGCCTAAGATTTCTACACTCTTTACCAAATTCGGGGAATTGTCGATCAATATTTTTCCATTGCTTTGAATCAGCTGGATGACGAAGCAGCCCGTCAATTTTTCTCTCATCTGCATGCCATCTAAGATTTTTAGCATCTTTGGGATTCGCAAACAAACGCTTAAGTCTGGGCACTATTGGAAGGTACCAAACTACTTTCAAAGCAGATCCATTTTTTTCTATCTGACCATTATCTTCACTATTGTTTTTTGACTTGTATCGTGATAAGCCACATTTTGGACACTTTGTCAAAAATTCAAACTCTTTCCTATACAAAATGCAGTCATTGGGACAAGCATGTATCCTTTTATACTCCATACCCATTGGACAAAGAATTTTCTTCGCATCATAATTACGAGTGGGCAGTGTATTTCCATCTGGCAACATTTCATTCAACAACGTCAACAGTTCTGTAAAACTCTTATCAGTCCATCCATTGCTCGCCTTCAAATTCATGAGCCTTAACACCGCTGATAAACGTGTGAACTTAGTTGAACCGACATACAAAGGTGTTTCCGCATCAGTCGACATCGTCTCATACACATGAGCTTTGGCAAAATTTTCTGCTCCAACATCGCGGATCATGTCCTCCAATTTGTCTTCATCCGGTCGATCTTCTTCCATGGTGGAATCAGTAACATTTACACTTTGAGAGTCAGTGGGAAAATCCATTTCTTCGCCGTGCCAGATCCATGTTGTATAGCATCTTAGAAAACCATCACATATAAGATGTTCTCTAATTTGAGTTGCGTTCAACTTTCTCCCATTCAAACAGTTCACACAAGGACATCTAAACTTCACTTCATCATCAGTTCTCCCCTCATTACGTTGCGCAAATTGTATAAATTCCTCTACACCTCTCTCGTACTCAGCACTAATACGTGGTAAATTAATCCAATTTCGATCCATATTCCTAAATATTACATAAAAAGATAAGCTACTAAAAATCAAACTTGCAATTTCATACATATCATTGAAACTTAGTGAATAATATTTTAAGGTTTATAAATAATACAAGAACTACAACACACATTACCAAAACTATAGCAAAAACCATACCATACATTACCAAAACTATAACAATTTCATGCATTATCAAAATTAAAGCAAAAATTATACCATACATTACCAAAACTATAGAAACTTCATACATTACCAAAACTATAGCATTATGCAAAAACTAATGAAGAAATCACGTTAAGAATGCAAAAGGGCATAAATACCTGGAAGAGGAACGGCGAAAACGCTTGGTGCAACAAAAACCAAAACGCAGCAGAGATGGAATGTCTCGTTTTCAAACGATTTTGATCGGCTGAAATGTTTCAAACGCGTCACAAATGAGAAAGGAAACAATAATTTTGAGATTAAACGGTGCAGAAACGCGTACCTGAGATGACTCGGAGGAAGAAGAAAACGCGTTCCAGAGAGCTTGCGCGAAGACGACGACACTGTTCCAAGTTTTGTTTTTTAACTCTGAACGGGGGAATCTACCGCGGTTCCCTACTTAACCGCGGTATAATAGGGGTATATGCCGCGGTTTAACCCCCAACCGCGGCATATACTGATTAAAAAAATTATCCTAAATGGCATTTTTGAAATTATTTTCAAACTATATGCCGCGGTTCAGCGGGCAACCGCGGTATATACCTCGAAATATTTCAAATTAATATTAAATTAATTTCAGATGGGAGAATATGCCGCGGTTGCTCGTAGAACCGCGGCATATACCCCTGTAACGTGCTCAACACAACTGCCCCCCAACTGCCTTCTGGGGAATTTCAGAAGTTACAGGGGGTATATGCCGCGGTTGTGCAGAGAACCGCGGCATATACTCTGTTATTTAATTTTTTATTCATACGTGGCGTCAAAGGCAATGGTTGACTGGGGTATATGCCGCGGTTCCCAGTAGAACCGCGGCATATATGTTCGTTTTATTTACAAAACTGCCACCGCGCACCATTATGCTGCGGTTTTCGTTGAACCGTGGCATAATGTGCGCTGTAAAAACCCGATTTTTTACTAGTGACATTATTGAAATAGCTGGAAACTTGTTTTGATGAATGACTTGTCACTAGAAGAGGTTTAGTAAAAGAAGTAATTAAATGAATATAATTATTGTTATTATTATTTTGTTATTGGAAAAAGTAAGGTGGTAGAAAGAATGAGAGGAGAAAAAGGTGGGACTTGGTAGAAACATGGGCGACATGAGCACGCTACACAAGCAAGAAAGCTGGCATATCCTTCTTGACTTGTATCTTATTAATTTACTCACTTCTTCACGTGGATTCCCTCTCCTATCTCCCATACCAATAATACACCATTTTCTCCACATCACTTTCTCACTCTCCAACTCATCCATATATTATTATTCTACTTCGATTGGACCATATACCTACCTTCTTTCCACACATCGATGCACATTTCTTTTAGTGAACCATAAACACACCTTTAGTAATTCTTCTCAGTTTTCTTTTCTTCAAATCAAATGGTTTAACTTTAAACAACATACGTACGAATACAGGATCCCTTCAATCTCCTTCTTTCAAGCTAATTACCCTTTAACTTGCTTTTAATCAAACAGTATTAAAAAACAGTTTATTTTACAATTTCCAGTTTGCATAGTAAAACAGTTTGGTCCACGCACTCGAAGAGATTCTTTTCAAAACCTAATCAGCGAGTTTCGTTTAGGGTTTCGTGACGTTAAGAATGTGAATTATTTTAAATATCAGTTGCATTTTAAGCATTTGAGAGAGTGTTGAATAAGACAAAGCATTCAAACATGTTTAGAGTGTTTAAAATTGAACAGAATAGATTCCAAACATATATGATATATAGATGAGTGAAATGGTTAACTGAATAAAAAATGAATGAATTTGATTGATAATGAAGCATAATATTATATATATATTGTATGAAGAAGGTGATAGAGGGAGATCCCAAGGACTGGAGTAAGTAGCATTGAGCCTTGTGCTGCAGTTGGTCAGGACAAAGCAAATCAAGAAGCAAAGTTCACGGGGTTCAGTAGCCAAATCCCGGAGGAAAACTGGTTTTCATTCTCTCAAAACATGCACACATATCCCATCATTGGATATTGGATTTACAAATAATTGTAAACATAATAATAACAACAAATTAAATATTAATAATAATAATAATATAAATAATAATACTAATATGAATAATAATACTAATAATAATAATATTAAAACGAATTAAAATAATAGTAATAATAATAATAATACAAATAATAATAATACAATAAATAATAATAATAATTATAAGAGAATAAATAAATAAAATTTTATTTTAATATATCTTAATGTATGTATCTCATTTAGAAGTTAACCTATTTTATGAAAATTATGAAATTTATTTGTATAATTTAAAATTTAAGACATATTTAATTAATTAATTTTAATATAATTGAAACCTTAAAACAATTTGAAACCAAATTACCTATGAAGAAGAAGATGAACGATTAGGAGCAATAATGCAGTGTACAACTGGAGAAGAAGAAAGCAATGGAGAGTAAATTTAGATGTTTCAATGTGTATTGAAAATGGTTGAAATGTTCATTTTATTTAGGTAAAAGTTGCACAACAGCGTAATTTATGATGTCACTTGCAATAATACATTCATTTGTTGATGTATAGACTAACATTAGATGAGGCAACAACGATAAATATCATGCAGCATTTCATTACATTTAGTGAGAA